ATGAAAATTGAAATGTATAGGAGAAGTATACTTTTATGAACTCTGATTTTGATGACCTTGGAACTTCCAAAAAAATCATTCGTATCAGTGATATGGGAATTATATCTCTCATCACAAACAGGTTATATGACCTCACTCATTTCGGATATCAAATCCTCATCAGTAACCTGAAGTCCAGTTATTCTTTCTGTTGTGTTTGTAGTATGTAAGGAGAGGAATAATGAGACTCAGAAGTTGTTCTCCAATCCTCCCGATATATTGAAACTTGTAATAATCTTCCTGTACATTGTACTCGTACATGTGGTTCGTTCCCACTTCCTACATAGGTTAAAAAGGTTAGAAGTGTCAAGTCCTTGTGAATCCTAACCGCTATGTCTCTATTTCCGCTAGTCGGTAATGAGTGTCTATGATACAGAACTCGTGAACGTAACACTTTCAGCCATTCTTCATGATATACACAATTTTCATCTCCCATCTCCCTATAATATAACTAAAACTATAACGAACTGACATCTGAGAATTATAATTTGTTGACATAACCATAAAATGGAATATTTAAATATTGCCAATACTGTTATGAACATATTGCCCTCTTCTTTTCTTTGAATGAGCCCCACATTTTCGAAACTATATGTATTCAATGTTATGATTGCTTCCAATGTTTCTTGTTAACCCACTGTTAACCGAGTTGTTATTTGTTAACATTACTTTTGCTTTGTTTCAGGTCGGAACGAACTCATAGCTAGGTATATTAAATTAAGGACTGGAAAAACAAGGACGCGGAAACAAGTGAGTTCTCACATACAGGTCCTGGCAAGGCGGAAGCTACGGGAAATTCAAGCAAAACTCAAAGTTGTAAGTACTATAATCCAGTAACTTTATACATCACAGTATGCGTCAAATCCGGTAGTTCTGATTTTTGCAGACTTGTTCATGATGTTGACCTAATGAATAATCCAGGATTGTGACCTTGAACGCCGAACGCAACTTTGTCAAAAATAGAAAAAACTGCAAAAAAATTGTTTTTTTTTTCTTCAGTTTTTGGCGGTTATAACCCTAAAGGACTAGTTTTTGAAAAAAACTCTTTCAGGACGATTTTAAAGTAGACCAAATTTGCTACAATATGATATAAAAACGGTCTCTGTAGACTCATTAGTTTCCGAGATTGAGCCTTTCAAAGTTCATAATTTTTTTCGAACATCGCAATTTTTTGCAATCCTGTCGTTCTGATTGAATTTTGACACTGATTATACAATCAAAGTCCTGTACTTTCATGATGAGATGATGAGGAAGAAAATGAGGAGTGTAAACGAGGATGTTTAAGCTGAGCTATACGAATAATGAAATAAAAAAGATAAGTACAACAAAAGTGGATGAGTTTATTTGTTAGGAAATAGAGTCATATTAAAGATCAAAAAATTAGATTAATTTAGCCCTCTTGGAAGGTCCCGGTTGAGGTTCGTTTGGATCTGGATCGACGTATTGGGATGGCATATCCCCATCAGGGGATGGTGATGAATCGTCGACGTCTTTTGCCCACAAGTCATCCTCCATTTCAACATCGGACAGATCGTCGCCTTCTGGGATATCTACTACTACAACATCAGGTACATTGTCACAAGAGGCCCCACTGCAGTGCCTGCAGACTGATGAGCATTTGAATCCTGACTTCCTGCAGCTGCACGCGTTTCCACAACCCTTCGTGCAGCCGCAAGAAATCATCCGCAAAAAATTGCGAAATTTGAAAAAAATTATAAAGTATGAAAGGTTTAATCTCGAAAACTATTGGGTCTACAGCGACAGTTTTTGTATCATATTGTAGCAAATTTGATCTGCTTTCAAAACGTCCTGAGAGATTATTTTTCGAAAACTAGTCCTTCAGGGTTATAATCGCCAAAATTTGAAAAAATTACGATTTTTTCGCGGTTTTTTCGATTTTTGACAAAGTTGCGTTCGGTGCTCGAGGTCACTGCAAAAAATCAGAACTACCGGAATTGACGCATACTTCCCCCATATGTTCAGGCGACAAAGTTACTGGACTTACTATGTTGCTTTCCAAATGTTTTATTTAGTTCTACTATACGCACACTATTGGTACAAAGTAGTGTATTGTATTAATAAATATAAATGAAAATCCTGAAATAACCACGGTTGCATTATAGTATTTCTATATTATGCCGCCGTTAATTTATAATAATTTGCTATATTTATGGTCTCGCTACCATTTATATGGGCAATTATCAGAGCATAAAATTAGTTTCTCTCTTTGTTTATGCAGAACTGATTGTATCTGGGAAAGTTTGAAGTCGACACTCAGCCATTTAGTTATTACAATTAAACGAAATAGGAACTTAACTTTTGATGTCGATATTTTTATCGGGGCGTAATATCGCTCTACACCTGCTATTGAATGCTTACGTGGTGTTGTCACGGAACGGAATATATCGTAATACCTGGCATGGTATGATTCATAACATAATGAGCGATGCATTATTTTACTCATCGATTACTGTAACTTGTTGTTGGAAATTGTGTTTTTTCATTTATAGGTATAGGTAGTCTACTGTTTATTAGAAAGGATAGTTGTTAACAGTCACTGCGAAATCGGTTGCAAATAGAATGAGTAAATTGTAACAATCATTCAAACTATTTAAATGATAAGATAATCTAGGCAATTAATCAAGAATACATAGTAGCAGCACAGTTGAGAGAATATTGTATATGTAATATTCTCTCAACTGTGGTAGCAGGCAGGGTACATTAACGATGAAGTTGGGAAAGTTGGAATCAGATCTAGAATAATATTAATCAATTCATTTCAATAACATTTAGATTCCATTGCGTTATTTTTCTCTCAAACAAATTGTCATCGACAACAATCATTTGAAATAATACTAGACATATGAATTTTTAATAATTTCTATCAAGTAAAACATTGAAGGTGTTGTCATTTTTTACCACCATGTTCTTATGTGCATATCACATGAAATGTAATTCATCCGTATAAAAAATTATCTGAACTACTCCAACAAAAGCAAAAATACTGGTTTATATGCAATAAATAAAAAACATATGAGTTTAGACCAAGATGAGACCCAGGCGCGCATTGTTGTATACTCTGTAGGCTATATAGTAGAGTTAACTACTGGTAAATTTATTACAAAAGAAATGTAGGGTAATATGCGACCAACATATAACTCAAGTGTGCTTGGCGCCAAACGCATTTATCGATGAAGAAATAAATCAGTATCGATGCTGCATCCATACTATAGGGTTTCTATAAATCATCGTAAATGTATTTCCAAAATCAATTGCAGAATATCCCGCACCGTGCGGCATCGGCGTGTTTGGAGTTCCCTTTGAAGGGAGCGTCTTGTACCGCACTTGCATTAACTTCAAAGGGAACTTCAGTCCCGCCGACGCCGCGCGGTATATTCTGCATTTTAATGGCCGTGGACATGTTTTGTTGATGTGCCGCGTTCCTCTTATGGAGAACGCGGTAGTCAAGATCATCATCTGACGTTGCGATAACATGAAAACTACCGTAAAACATGTCTAACTTTCAATCTAAGCCAGGAGTTAGGAATGTCTTCCCGTAATTTTCATGTCATCGAAACGTCAGATGATGACCTTGACTACCGCGACTAACATGTTCACTCGCTTCGATTTCTGTGAATAACGTAATCAGAGAGCGGCAAATGTATGCAAATGTATAACCTATTTCAAGACGAGCGGCCACCACGATGCTACAACAATCATTTATAGAGACCGCCTGTTCTTCACTACCAAAGTGACACTACTATAAAAATTGATATATTGATAATATAATAATGTAATCACCTCTCAGTGGTGGATTCAGAGAGAGGTAGTGGGGGAGGCGAAGGATGTTTCGCGCCAAAATCCCAAAATGAAACCCGTTCTTGAAATTATCTCAGATGACTATTCATTTTGAATCACTCCAACTCATTATTTGGGGTAGAAGCATCCGAACAAACTGAGTTGTTCACAGATTTTTGTAAAATAATAGTGAAAATCATCGATAAAATGTCGAAGACTTGTGGTATTACCTTGACTATTCCACTCTTGGTCTCTAGAATCAATCAGAATCGGCCATTTCCTGGGTTTCTCCTGTATTACAGCGACATTTTTCTGTTTACTAAATTTCATCGGACTTGTTCTACCAATACCATCGTCCACCAATATATTAGAATATTGGTGGACGATGCCAATACAGAAGCCGAATTGATCCACACGCGACCAACCTTCCGCGTATTGCAGCGATAATAGATATTTACGTAATCAGTTAGGAAACGCGTTGTTTTGTGTAACGATGGGATTTTGCGGGACGAGCGAAGCGAGATCCCGCAACATCACAGAGTTACACAAAATGGCGTTTCCTAACGTGTCACGTACAATATTTTTTCTAATTTTGACGAAACATTTCGCATGAACAAAAATAATGACCAGTTTTACATGAGTTCTGCCGACTCCGAGGCCGACTCTTGTTGTGTGAAATGAATGAATGAAATGATCATTACATCACCAGTTATGTAAAATTTTACTTTACGCAACTGGTTACGTAAAGTAAGACCCGTCAGTTTTGAAAAGTGTCACATTACATGTCAAAATTAGAAAAAAAATTTTACGTTTAAAACGTCAATTATGTTGGAAGCCAGAATGATAGATGCAGTGTGCGCAACTCTCGGGAGCCACTCGTTTCTTGTCTCAATCATAGAATAGTCATTCGATACTTTATTTTTCCTGGATATATTCGTCGATTGACATACTACAGCTTGCTGCTTCAATTTCGCTTAGGACCTTGTTCCAAAACAATGTCATTCCGGCGAAATTATTAGGCAACAAGCTGTCGTGACAATCGCCGAATATTCCCGGCAAAATAGTATCACTTATGCATAAGCTATCTAGAGGGAAGAGGTAAAAATTCTGCAGGGTTACGATTTCCCATACTTGTTGGTGATGGTGTGTTTATGATTTGTCAGGACCACGTTGCCAAAGAGAAGGCACTGCAGACGATGTCGAGTATGTCTAGTGCGCAGATAGTGTCCGCTACCACTGCAATGCACAGCAAGTCTGCAGCTCTAAATATCGGTCTAACTCACAACAGTCACAACCCCGTTTCCTATCCCGGAGCGGTAAGTGGTGGCTGCATACTTTGGCCAGGAGAGGCTAAATACTTGAATGTATTCCATCATCCTTATTGCATGGTCGTGAAAGATCACATTCATTGAAAAATTCGCTACAATCATGAACCGCTAGGTGGCGCTGGAAATCTCATCTTCCAAGGTTGGTAGAATTGATGAATATTTGTGGAGGAAGGTTTTCTCGATCAGCTAAACGGGAATTGCGGTGAGTGGGAGTAATAATTCGTGACTTGAACTACTGTCTTCAAGTAAATTTACCAATCCAGCTGGAATAGGCAAGTGGACTATTTTTTTTTATTTCTAAATTTTCTTTCGCTCGATTTCAAGGTGCAAATATAATACCACGATAATTTTCAAACGGCTAGAAATTTACCGCGACTAGAAACTGACGTCAATATTCCGTAAGTAGGGGCAGACCGCACAGTTGCCATATGTTGAAATACGATTGGAAACTTGAAAAATATTTGTTATTCATAAATTCTCTATCATGTATTGATAATATTCCTAATCAGCAATGAAACATTAATGAGGTATTGTCACGAATTCTTCCCTCATGTGGGTTTTTGCTTATAAGAAATCTGTGTAACTAATAATTATATTGATTTACACTAGAGGACATTTGAACCGGTGAAGGTGACAACACAGCGCACGAATTGTGGGCGTGGTCTTTTCAGTTTTCAGCATCCAGCACAATGTTGCCAGGTCTCCAACATTTACATGATATGTTGTTATAGAGTATAAAAAATATTTGCACATGCTGATTGCTCGAAAAAGAATGAACCATGATTGATATCATGGTTTGCTCCTATTATGTTTTATTCATCGACAAGACTCTAACATCGTTTTGATAACTTGATTATAATTGGTGCCTCAGCAACCTTACTTCACGAGTGGAAATGGAAGATTTTCCGACCAATAACGAAACAGCATGAAAACTGACGTCACCATTTATTCGACGATTTGCCAAATGGCGGCCATGCCGGTACGTATGAAATTGGCTCTGGAATTCAACAATTTCGAACAACGCATAGACTCATTATTTACATAAAAAAGCGTGAGAAGTATTGTGAAAAAACTACACAGTGGAATAATTGAATGCCAATAATTCATTATCAGTCCACTCGCCCATTATACATACATTTCTATTACGTCACGAACGTTCCCCTACAATTAATCATCAATTCTACCAACCTTGTAATCTGTGATTTAGAGGTGAACAATGAATATTTGGTGTATCAATGTGAATTATTAGTCCTCAAAACCGTTAATTGAAAAACAATCAACAACTCAAAAATATATTCGTCTGGATATCCAGGATTAATGAAATGCTTGATACATTTTCATTTATCATTTATCTCTTCACTGTTGAGATAATTGTGAGTAGTTGGAATAGGTATATTAGTTGAAATTGAGTTCTACAATAGATGGCCAGTTGTGTTCAAATGTAGCACATGTAATTTGAAAAGTACTCATTTGTCACTAGAAAAAACTTACCTTTGGAAACATCAACCTGGATTCGTCACTATGTTATTTTGAAACGTATCTTCAACAGTCACTCATCTTCAACTTCACTAGATACAAGCTCGTATACCAGCATACCTATATTCATTGCGTTATGGAATTTACGAGTGATTTCACAATTTTGAGTACTATATTTTCCATTTCTGGATTCCAGAAGAGAATGAATGTAATAAGAAGATACCAGTCTATTGAGAAGAGCACTTCCTCAGGTACTCACTCTATTTTTTTTTTAATTCATTTTTAAGCTCAAAATTACGAAATGAGTCCGAAAACAATAAGTCCTGACAAGTTCTTCATGAAGCTTGTTGTTCACCTCTGTAGCAATTCCAAAAACAAGCATAGCGTCAGCCCATTGGTTGCATAATAGTCGTCGGATTAATGTAATGAATGGAAAGACAGTTTTTCCCATGCAATCGGTGCAGAAGCTTTCCTTCTCAAAATTATTTCTGCGTGCTATGTCCATGCGTCGCGAATTTTTTTTTTCGTAATAAGATAGGAAATGGAATACCTACATTTTGTGATTTATCCTCTCGTACTTGGTTAATGCTGCCAAAAAAGAGTTCCGCCCTGTCCAGCTTTTTGTCCGTAGTAGATGTGCTAATGCAGTTCGAGCCCAAATCTCTTATGGTTCAAGCGGGACCAACCGATACCTAGATGGATATATGAATGTGATGGTGGTACAAAACTGGATATCACTTTTATTCACTCATTTCCATCTTGTATCGATATAATGTCGATAAAGAAATTGGAAAAATCCAAGTCAACTTCATTTCCTTCATTAGATGATTCAAATCATAGTTTACCCAACTATTTATTCTGAAATCTGTTTTCATCTTCTCAGTTTTGAAAATTCAAATATTACTGTAAAGAGATTTTGAGCCTGCAACGTTCATATACCTAATTACATCAAAGTTTTACGTTTTACGATAACATCAATCAATCGAAAGATAATGACCGCTCACTTCGATGGATGTTCTTGATAGATATATCATAATTTGTTTTGACCGGAACCTATCTACCATTATACCGAGTGTAACCGGATTATGGTACACCAAACCAATTTGATGAATCAAATTTGGTGATGAATCAAGAAATTTTACATTTTTGACAGGATTGATTTCTTTCAGCATTACACCTGTCGATATGAGTACATCAGACCCGATCAGAATATGGTCATGGCACACCAGATCGAAAATCGAGAATGAAATTAAAATCAATATTGAAGTTTGAAATGTCACTTCTGCGGTATCATCGGATCCAGAAAATGATGCAGCATTCGAAAATGCAATGATATATAGGGTGTTCCATTTGAAAATCAGAAATTATCATCATCTTCGGTTAAACCCGAAGTGGAAAATCGAACATATTCATGTCAAAACTTGACGTTTATCAAGTTGAAGAGTCATTCCGAATTCTAATCAGTTATCTCTAAAACTGAAGGATAAAAAAGGGGTGTATATGCCATGTAGAATGTCCACATACCTTTTGAACTGGGCGGTCAGGCTAATTTTCTGGTTATGCTTCTCAGCTTTCTATTCCAAGCTTAGTTATAATGTTCAATAGGCCTTCATCGAGTTAACTTGACAAACGATAAGATTCCACAAAATTCTCAATGATACGATAATGTGTAGGTTTTTCAGGTTAATCGTACAATAAACAGTTTATTAAACGATTATTTTACTTGAAGAAGCTACCTAGTCAGCGAAACATGTGTATTGGGGATTTTGTGGGCATTTTATGGTTTACTAAATTATTTCAGTCTCTTGGGAAAGACTTTTTATTCATTAAACTAAGGAAGACTTTGTGTTGTTTGAAAATAAATTGCGGCACTTCCTCTCACATATTCCTCAGTAGGTACCAAGGATTTTTCCATTCTTGATTCATCAAAATCATGCCAGTTGTGAACCTAATGAATAACAATGAAACATACGAGTATAAGCACGCAAAAACGTTCTCCTTCCTCAAGATTTTTCCCGTTGGTCTAATTCTACTGACCTTACTCCTTCCCGGTATGCACAGTCGTTGAAAATGTTGCTCTTTGGTGACAGTTGCTACTCCGGTCCTGAATATGAGAGAAAAATTAGATGCAGACTTCATTATACAGGATGAAAGAACTAATTATCAACCATTTTGGGCTTACTTGCTGTGTGTTGCAGCCGTTTTGTACCATGTTTCGCTATAATGCTGTTTTTAGCTTCCTGGTTTCCATAATATACTGGCATAACATGTGTTCCTCATAGAATGACATTTGTATTGTTCGAATCTCAAGAATACTTTTTTTTTCAGCAATTTTGGCAGCCTGGATTACAGCCTGGGACCTCTCAAGAGTAAGTTTTTGACTTCTCCAACACCTGGCTTATTTTGGGATATGATTTTGAATAAGAACTGAGAATTATAAGTGGCCTCTCGTTATTTGATAAAAACAAACTAAAATTATGAGCCGATCGAGAAAAACTTGTTTCACAACCATTTGAAACAGAGCGTTAAGTATGGTACTATACCTACTACATGAGAAAACTGGCTATGAACGGAATGAACGAACTTCAGTGACTCTATGGACTTACTTTCAACCCCATCTCTATATCCGAAGAATAAATAGTCAATTATTTTATTTTTATGCCAAATGGTGCAAAGTGGTCGTTACCCATTCATCATTCTCAGGTCTTCTAATTGGAAAAATTAAAGTTTAAGGTACTTATCTCACATTTTATATCTGGTTCATACACACTTTTTCAATTTAATTGATGAGCAGTTGAGTTTTATTTAGCATGCCCTTCAAGTGTTTGACAGCTACACTTGGCTATGGGTCGCGTGCACATTTGACGATTTCACAGTTGACCTCGACCATTGTAGTACAGACAAGTTGATTTTTTCCCCATTCAGCTAACAATGTCCTGACCGACCCTGGAGATGAAACAACCTCACATTTCTTATTTGTTTACAAAGGATTGAAATTGTTTTTCACAATTATTTTGGCATACGAATCGTGTTTTTTGAACAATTTGCACAAAAAAATGCATCAAGAGACGAAGGAATAATATTTTTCAGGTAGGTGAATTGTGATCTAAAATCAATGTAGTCATTCGTCACTCACATAGTTTTCATTTTGAAGTTTCGTCATTTCTCTTTAGAATTCCGTCTGCAACAGGAGCTAATAGAAAGACTTGTAGAGTTTCTGTAATAGGGCATGAAGCTTGGATTCGTGCCATCAAACGGGAGGACTGGTCTGATATGCTGACGAAATATGGTGGTGTGTGTTGTAGACATTTTCACTACCTATATTAGCTTCTATTGCAGAAGTGACAGAAGGAAATCTAAAGAGAAATGACAAGATTTTTACATGCAAACTATGTGAGTGACGAATAACTACTGTACTCTCTCTTTTTGTGCTCTGTACAACAGCATAATGTCAAAGCATGCTTGAATAAATATGTAGCCAAAAAAACACGATTTGTATGCCAAAATAATTTCAAAAACTATTTCAATCCATTGAAAACAAATAACAAAAGTGAGGTTTCACCTCCATTGTCGGTCATCTGTCAAATGTGCAGGCGACCTCATACCAATACCTACTGACAATTTGGGAGTTCCTGCGCATTGATTAGACGCGTTTTCAGGCGCGCAGTTTGGATGACATATTTGGGTTGCTGTGATAGGGGGATATGACATATAGCGGTCTATATAGTAGTTTATGTCAGTGACTACACCTCACTTACCTTTATCGACATCTGACATATACTGACAAAAAACGACCCAAGCCATAACGCCGCTATTATCTATCCGATTTTGAAAATCAAAAAAGTAAATTGTTCTTATCCGTCATCCGGTTGTCCCCTTACGAGGAACCATTTATTTTTACAATTTTAACTATAACGACAGCGTTTGTCAATTTTTTTCTTCAAATGGCATTGTATATTTTCAAATTTTTTTCTGGTTGAGATTTTTTCCGAATATAATGACGTATAAAAAGTTGACTTTCGCTCAAAATTTGTTGAAAAAAGTGGATGCTCCGTCGACAAGAAATGGACCCTGTCATATATATTGAGTCATCGAAGTTAAGAGTCCGTTCCTCATGGAAAAAAGCGTTATAATGTTGAGGAAATGATTTACAAATGACTATCTTAGGAAACTACAAACTTGAAAAAGTATAATGAATAATCCATTTCTTGACGACGGAGCATACATTTTTTTCAAAAAATTGTGTGCAATGGTAAAATGTTTATAGGTATGTACAACATTGGATTCAGAAAAAATTCTCAATCAGAAAAAACTAAATAATATACAATTTAATTAAAAAAAAGAAGTTGACAATCGCTGTCGTTAGAATTGAAATCGGAAAAAGTAATTGTAAGTGTCACTTTGTAGTATTTGATAAATAATTTAATTTGCTTTTCTGTTTTTCAGAATCGGATAGTCAAATGGGTAGACTCTCTATTGTATTATTTCTTGCTACATTTATTTTCTTGTGTGATTTTTCTCAATGTGTTGAGCTAACGAATTATCGAGTAAATGTTTCCATGAATTTTCCAGTGTGAAGCCTTTCGCGCAGGCGGCCTACACGGGCAAGCCGGCGACGGCGGTATCGGCGGGCGACGTGGGGGCAGGACTGCAGACAGCGCCGCCGCCCGTGTGGGAGGGGCGGGCCATCGCCACGCACAAGCTGAGGCTGGTCGAGTTCTCCGCCTTCATGGAGTCGCAGAGCAGGGACGAGGCAGTGAGTATTAATTATTATTAATTAAGCACAGAACTATTACCCAGAGTTGAATGAATATCGGGTCGATTCTGTCCGGAATTTGTTATAACATTGCTAACAATATCGTTATTCATAGATGAAAACCCAAAGTCATCTCCACAACATTTATTAGAATGATCATAGATCATGTTTCGGGTTCATATTATAATCCCATCATCAGCCAATAGAAAATGTTATAGTTATGGAAATGAAAAAAGTAAGCATACAAATAGTATAGTTGATAACAGTGCAAACAAGGGAATATGCTCCATGATTGTCACTGTAAAATGATATAAAATTATGTCATAAATTTACTTTAATATAAATTTATCATTTAAAGGTCGGGTTCATATTTTACAAGGGCCCACTTGCCCTTGAATTATCGAAAGGTGATAATTAAACTTTGAAAAATCAAACTAAGATAAGGTATCAAAATTAAGCTGCTCTTCAACAAGTTTCACCGGAAGTGATAATAATTTCTGATTTTCAAATGGAACTCCCTATATATCATTGCATTTTCGAATGCTGCATCATTTTCTGAATCTGATGATACCACAGAAGTGACATTTCAAACTTTAATATTGATTTTAATTTCATTCTCGATTTTCGATCTGGTGTGCCATGGCCATATTCTGATCGAGTCTGATGTACTCATATCGACTGTAATGCTGAAAAAAAAGTCAATCTTGTCAAAAATGTGAGATTTCTTGATTCATCACCAAATTAAGTTCATCAAACCATAATCCGGTTACACCGTTACCACCGATACAACAAGGCCTGCATGCTCCGTGGGTGACGTCACTTAGTGAGGCCTAACCAGCGGCTCGAAACGACAAGCGCTTATAGCGCTATAAGGCGACCGCGTATTTCGATTTTACTTTTGAGCATCATGGAGCCGATTTTGCTGTTTTTTGAAGGGCTTCCGGTTAAAAAAGGATGCCAGTCGTCAACTGAGCCCTTCTTCGCACCCCATTCGATTTTATTATGGAAAAACGAAGTTTTAAAGCAAAAACCAGGATAAAACACAAATATCCACCTACAGCAACCCATTCGAATTAAATATATTGGCAAAAATTGTGGTGAAGGTAAACTTCACACCTACTTATACAGGGCCCGCAGAACATAAACTCATCGTGAGATTGATCGAAAGAAAATTGTGGAAAATGTGTTTTATTTTGATTACATGTCGTTTGTTACAATTACCTATATTTATCTTGGAGAATTCCTATTACCTGAAAAAATAACCAGTGAGTGTTTTCAATTTTCTGTTGGATTTTTCATCCAAGTGGATCGTTACACTTGAAACCGTAGTTTTTAAGGGTAAAACTGCATTTATCATGCGATGGTTTTTTTTTGAAAATTTTTTTCGGTACTCACCACTATTTATTGAGATATTTCAAGAAATAGTTCGAAATTTCGCCTTCTTTCTCCCCTTGTTTTTGTTGGGGGCATTTGAAGCTACTTGCTCTTATTTTGTCATTGGACACTTTATATACTCATGATGTACTTCGATGGCACATTTTTATACAGAAAATTCAACAGGAAATATGATTTTTATGGCCTGTTCTTCATATTTAGTGAACAAGCATTCCAGATGACGACCATTTAATCAATAGTCAATCAAAATACGAGATGTCAAATGTCAATAGATTGATTTCGAATGACATTACACTCGCCATTATTTTGAATGATATTCTTCCTTCTTTTCACTAAATATGGATTAATCTCAAGAAAATCATATTTATAGTTGAATTATATATAAATTGTCCAATATGATGGAAAAAGAAGGGAAATTTGTTCTAAATGCCATCCAGAAGACAGGTGAAAAAGAAGGTGAAATTTGGAACTTTTCCGTCAAATATCTTCATGATAAATATCATGATAAATACAGTTTTACCTTTGTTGAGTAGAGTGTTTGTAGTTCATGTTAATGTGATAGTTGCAATTTGATCATTGGAATGAATTCTGCATTCATTGCCACGAGGCAAATGACCGTTTTCAGAAAGAAATTTGAGAATGAGAATTAAAAATGCCCGTATATTATGAACATTCAAGAAAATTTCCTCGAATTCAGAGATGATTTTGTTGACTATAATATACGAATACAAAACTAACTGCACAATCAAAGTTTTTCTATTTTTCCTCTACTTATACTTTTTATGAGAGAGTAATTGTCTTCTATTATTAATTCATCATTATAAATTAAGCTCTGTTTACTACTGAACTTAGATACTTAGATGGAGTAAAATCCTCGCGGTGAATTGCATATACTTACCCACATTTTCGATAGCTCCTCGTCCAACGGAAAACTAAAAGCATGAACTTTTGAACCACCCACATAATTCCCCCGACAAAAGGGAACACAACACTTGAAAGGCATTGTTATTTCGCCGATCACAACACAAAATATTTCACAAAACAGTAATTTTTCCGCCAATTATTGTGATGAATAAACAACAAAAGAATTCGGGACCGTTTCAAAAACATACGTGAATCACCGATGAATTAACACGAACTGACGCGTTAGTCGACAAGCAATAAAATAAAACACTGGCCTCACTTGGCGACGTCACGAGCTGTTTACGTCAGAGTCTCCTGGCCTTGTTGTATCGGTGGTAACGGTTACACCCGGTATAATGGTAGATAGGTTTTGGCCAGCCAAACAGATTATTATGTATCTATCCAGAACATCCATAGAAGTGAGCGGTCATTATCTTTCGATTGATGGATGTTATCGAAAAACGTAAAACTTTGATGTAATTAGGTATGATATATGAACGTCTCAAAATCTCTTTACAGTTTTGGCGTTTCAGTGGGGAAGAACTGAACACCTTTTTGAATATTTGCGAGGATCTTTTTGGCAGTGCCGAAAGCTGTATGGTAGCGGTTGATATGATGTATATTTACAAAATGAATAATAGTGAATTCGTAGTCGAGGCGTCTCTGGTCAGTTAAGCTGTCGCGAACCGAGTAACCACTTCGAGTGTCGAGAAAAGACTGTCGTTCTTGAGGGTTGTTTTGAGAACGTGAGATCGGTTCGAAAACCCTAGCACGTTTCTCAGAAAAAGAGAAAACCTGGTAGTGTAACTCAAATTGAAATGAAATAATTAAGAAAATCCGAATCATTTGTTTGGTACCTCCAGATGGAATTTTATTGGGGTACGCTAAGCCTGAGAACACGATCATAAAACTGTTTCGACAAACAATATTTGAGTTTTGGGAAAGTCCACATCTGTTTTGTAATTTGTAAGCTTAGAGATCGCCTCGACTCAAAATTCGATGAAGATATATACAGGGTGTACCATTTACATGATAATAATGGATAATATTTACAATTGATATCAATAGTTATTTACAAAGTGAAATCTAAATATTATATACATATGACACAGAAATATACAGTGGAAATATGATTTCCCACACACCCCCCTGCTAGAAATGAAGGCTCAAGAAAAGCCAGCCTGTAACCGCTCAGGAAATCGTACTCGTCTTCCCGATCTGGTAGTCCGTAATTCCTGATCAGGTCTTGGTTGTGGGGCGGCGATTCGTGGAATATCTCTTGCAGGAGTCTTCACGTTGGGCTGTATCATGACGAACTCATCCCGGGTCTGTGGAGCATCAGCTTCGTTCTCAGATTCCGTTGATATTATGAAGGCCGGTTTGAGACGGTCTATTGTTACAGTGACGTCACGGCCGCGAACGTGTATGACGAACGTTTTATCTGATCTCTTAACGACTCAGAAGGGGCCGTCATAGGGATGCTGCAGCGGGGCTTTCGGTGCATCATGGCGGAGAAACACATACTCTGAGGTAGCAAGGTCCTTGTAAACAAAGGTCTTCCTGGTACCGTGCTGTGTACCAGGTGTGGGCTGCAGCTCTTGCATGTGTTTCCGCAATCTTTGAACATATTCGGGCGCTCTGTCATCTGATTGGGCGTTGCTGGAAGTCAGAAATTCTCCCGGTATCCGGATTGGCTGTCCGTAGAGCATCTCAGCAACGGTAGCCTGGATGTCCTCTTTCCAGGCACAGCGAATACCTAGGAGGACTGTGGGAAGAGTCTCTGTCCATTGCTGGCTGTTGTGACATCTGATTGCTCCTTTTAACTGGCGGTGAAAGCGCTCGATCATGCCATTTGCTGCTGGATGATATGCCGTGGTTCGTAAGTGAGTCGTACCAGTCAAACGGTTCAAGTGTTTGAAAAGGTGGGACTCAAATTGGCGGCCTTGGTCAGTGGTAACCCTGAGAGGTGTGCCGAACCGACAAATCCAATGGTTGTAAAAAGCGCCTGCTACAGTTGCTGCTTCTTGATCCTGAAGAGGGATGACTTCAGGCCAGCGAGTGAATCGGTCGATCATTGTGAGGCAGTAACGATATCCGTCACACAATGGCATTATCACGATGTCTATGTGTACGTGCTCGAACCTGGACGAAGGTGACAGGAACGAACCAACAGTTGTTGTGACATGTCGACTCACTTTTGCCCTTTGGCAATCCAAGCAACTTTTTGCCCAGGCTCTGCAGTCCTTTTTAACTGAGGGCCACACAAAACGTTGTGTAACCATCCTGACAGATGCATTGGCTCCTGGATGCGAGAGACGGTGTATGGAGTGAAATGCTGTTTTCCGGAAGGGTGTGGTGATAAACGGTCGAACTGCTGCAGTGGAGACATCACATACAACCATGGAATCTGTTCCAGGGATTTGCATGCGTTTTAGCTGCAGGGAAGAGTGTTCCTGTTGGAATTTCTTGAGTTCGACATCGTTTTCCTGCGAGGCAGCAAGGGCTTCAAAGTCTATAGTAGATTCTAACTCCTCGATACGCGACATAGCATCCGCTACTACGTTTTGTTCACCGGAAATGTGTCGAATGTCTGTGGAAAATTGTCCAATAAAGTCTAAGTATCGAAACTGTCGCGGCGAGCACTGACTAGCTCTTTGGCGGAAGGCAAATGTGATGGGTTTATGGTCCGTATACACTGTGAATTGCCTAGCTTCCACCATATGACGAAAATGTCGAACAGACAAGTATATCGCCAAAAGTTCGCGGTCGAAAGCACTGTATTTCCGCTCTGTGGAACTGAGCTTTTTCGAAAAAAAACTGAGGGGTTCCCACGAACCGTTGTTCCACTGCTGTAGCGCGGCACCAACAGAATAATCTGACGCGTCACAAAAAATAGCGAGATTTGCATCAAATTTTGGGTGGGCCAGCAATGTAGCCTGTGCAAGGCTCTCTTTACATGCCTCAAAAGCCGCGGTTGCTACTGGTGTCCAATTCACAGGTGCTTTACCTTTCACATTGTTCTTCAGAAGTTCATTGAGGGGAGCTTGACTGGTGGCAGCACCAGGTAAAAACCTTCGATAAAAGTTCAACATACCTAGAAACTGTCGAAGTTTTTTAACAGTGTCCGGTCGCGGGAAAGTTCGAATTGCGTCCACTCTATCGGCCAAGGGTCGAGTACCTGCCTCGGAGACTCGATAGCCTAGGAAGGTAACTTCTGGTTGACCGAATACGCATTTTACGGGATTGATAACGACGCCGTACATAGCCAAACGATCGAACAGGATTTTCAAATGTTTCATGTGTTGTTCTGGGGATTCCGAAGCAACTAAGATGTCGTCTATATAAGCATAGCAAAAGTCGAATCCACGGAGAACTTCGTCAATGAAACGTTGAAAAGTCTGAGCTGCGTTTCGCAGGCCGAATGTCATGAATCGGTACTCAAATAGTCCAAATGGGGTTGTAATCGCGGTTTTCGGAATATCTTCTTCCGCGACCGGAATTTGATTGAACGCGCGCACCAAGTCCACTGTAGAAAAAATTGTTTTACCGCGGAGACACTGAGAAAAGTCTTCAATATGTCGAACAGGGTAGCTATCTGGAATCGTCCTGGCATTGAGTCCACGATAATCGCCACATGGTCTCCACTCATCGCCTTTTTTTGGCACCAAATGCAAAGGAGCTGCCCAACAGCTTGCTGAAGGTCGAGCAATTCCTAATTTGAGGAGAGTGTCGAATTCTTTCTTGGCAGCTCGGAGTTTGTCCGGAGCGAGGCGACGTGGTTTCTGAGCGACTGGTGGTCCTGGAGTTGTCACAATGTGGTGCTTGGTTTCATGTTGAATATTCTTAGGAGTCCCTTCAGGCCGGGTAATGTCTGGAAACTGGTTCAGCAGGTCATGGTATAGGGAAGAGCCCACTACAGTTTTTACAGACGGTATTTCGCTGTCTACTACTACTCCTGGAAATGTGAGTGTCGTAGTGGAATCAACTAGGCGGCCGTTGGATAGGTCAGGGAGCAGTCCATAGTGTGCAAGAAAATCTGCTCCTAGAATTGGCTTTGAAATGTCTGCGATGACGAACCTCCAGGTGAAGTCCCTCCGTAGGCCAAGGTCAAGGGTGAATGTACAGGTCCCATATGTCGATATATTGGTTCCATTGACCGCGTAAAGTACGTACGATGACTTTTCACGTGGTTCACGGAGGAGATGACGAGGGTAGACGCACAGATCTGCACCTGTATCCACCAGAAACTGTAAGTTCGTTGACCGGTCGCGAACAAATAAACGGCGGGATTGAATTGGGCAATGGCTACCCGCTATTGACGATTGCCCGATTGGTTTTCCGACGGCCAGCTGCATGGTTTGGTGCAACTATTTGCTTTACTGCCAAATTTTTTGTGATACCAACATACGCCGGATTGGGAACTTCCTGGTGTACGGGAGCGTGGAGGACGGGAACCGGATCGCGATCTGTTTCGCTCCAAACTGTTCAACCGTACCTCAATTGCATCTAGGCGTACGATCACTCGCTCTAGATCAATAACAAGCTTTCGTATATCGCTGGCATAGTTGATATCAGGAGCTGATGTAGCAGAAATGGTTGAGCGTGACGATAAAATATCGTGCACGCGATCAGCGGTTTCAGCTGCTTCGCACAAGGTATTACTTGTCGAGATTGCTACGGTTGTTTGAATCTCGGTCGGCAGGCGACTTTGCCAAATGGTACGAACTAGCGATTCTGGTATAGCTGTACCTGCCAGATTCTGAAGACGTCGAAGAAACAGAGATGGTTTATCGTCGCCCATCTGTTCCTGCTGAAGGAGTTGCTTCGTCTTTTCTTCCTGTGACGTACTGAGTCGCTTAATCAAGCCTTCTTTCAGCCGCTCGTAAGAGCGATCGTCGATAGGTTGCACAATAATGTCTCTCACTTCGCTGCTGTACCGACGAGGTAACGCCTTAAGGACACTCAGGTATCGTTTGGCGTGGTCGTTAATCGACTCTGAAGTGAATTGTAATTCCACTAGAGTAAACCAAATCTCAGGATCAGCCGGGTTGAATTCAGGTAGCGACGTTGCGACCGTGAATGTAACAGGGTTGACGGCTGGTGCATAGGCTTCGTTGTTCACCATGTTGGCTACGCGTCACTTCACAAAAAATGTCACTCGCAAAAAAATACACAATCACGTCGGGGTCACCACTTTGGCGTTTCAGTGGGGAAGAACTGAACACCTTTTTGAATATTTGCGAGGATCTTTTTGGCAGTGCCGAAAGCTGTATGGTAGCGGTTGATATGATGTATATTTACAAAATGAATAATAGTGAATTCGTAGTCGAGGCGTCTCTGGTCAGTTAAGCTGTCGCGAACCGAGTAACCACTTCGAGTGTCGAGAAAAGACTGTCGTTCTTGAGGGTTGTTTTGAGAACGTGAGATCGGTTCGAAAACCCTAGCACGTTTCTCAGAAAAAGAGAAAACCTGGTAGTGTAACTCAAATTGAAATGAAATAATTAAGAAAATCCGAATCATTTGTTTGGTACCTCCAGATGGAATTTTATTGGGGTACGCTAAGCCTGAGAACACGATCATAAAACTGTTTCGACAAACAATATTTGAGTTTTGGGAAAGTCCACATCTGTTTTGTAATTTGTAAGCTTAGAGATCGCCTCGACTCAAAATTCGATGAAGATATATACAGGGTGTACCATTTACATGATAATAATGGATAATATTTACAATTGATATCAATAGTTATTTACAAAGTGAAATCTAAATATTATATACATATGACACAGAAATATACAGTGGAAATATGATTTCCCACACAGTAATCGTTGAATTTTCAATACCGAGAAGATGAAAACAGATTTCAGAATCACTAGTTGGGTAAACTATGTTTTGTATCATCTAATGAATGAAATTGACTTGGATTTTTCATATTTCTTTATCGACATTATATGGATACAAGATGGAAATAAGTGAACAAAAGTGATATCCAGTTTTGTACCACCACCACATTCATATATTTTACCGCTCTTCTAGATCTAATAATGGAAAAAATAATTAAGCATATCGCTTTTTTGATTTTTGACGAAAATTGCACATGTAAATTCGGATAAATCTGTATGATTTAAAATTTCCTTATCTCTCAGTTGTATATTTAACTAAAATTGAATAAATACATGAAACAAACATACAAGAGATTGCACACATTCGAAGAATCAGTATAACTTACCAATTAGATACACTGAAAACTTTTTTTTACAGTATCAAAAACACCTGTTCGTTCACATAGGAGGGCCAGCGTCGTACACTGACCCCCTGCTCGAAGCAGTGGACGTTCGACAGATATACGACAAATTCCCGGAGAAGAAGGGCGGCCTGAAGGAACTCTATGATAAGGGTCCTCAGAACGCCTTTTTCCTCGTCAAATTCTGGGCAGACCTCAATTCCAACCTGCAGGACGAGGCCGGAGCATTTTATGGAGTAACAAGCTCGTGAGTAATTCATTTGTTTTAGAACTTGAATCAGAATAAGTAGAATTTGGGAAAGATAAAGAATCTTGAAATCATGTTATGTCTCCACAATAATTTGCTTCAGCCGAGGGGTATAAGATCCCGTGGTAATACTATTCTTTACTGCCAAGGTGTATATTCAATTTTCTTCACCACTAGCAATACATTTTATAAAGTGACGAAAACTACCTTGGTACTTAGGACACACTTTATTCCTCGTAAAGGAGTAAATAATGGTTGGTTTTATAGCTAGTGGTGGAAAAAATAAGTTATTCCTTCCTTTTCCTACATAGCATTGAAATCCAATTGTTCTAAGTCTCCTTCCTATATATTATTTTTAAAGAAAAGGTATATTGACTCTTAACTTTATGCACGTGTTATAACGTTATAACTAGAGTGACATCATCATTTTCTGCAATTACTTGAAAATAAGATGTTACTCTTGCCGCCCCTGATAACCCATTCACTTGAAGAAGAAATGTTTTGGTCATCAAACACAGAAAATCAAAGAGTTGATTTTACTCTACTGGAGACATGAAAGGAATCTGGATACAAAAAACATTGTTTCCTTCAGAAGATTTTAGAATATAATAAGCAAATATTGAAATACCATTGCTAAGAAACTTGTGAAAGGCCCATTATCAGTATTTGCTATGAGATTAACTTTAGTGGAATATGCCCTATCTGTTATGCTGAGTCTTCTCAAACATAAGAGCACTTTTCTGCGGTTTTCTCCTTTTCTCATTGGGTCATCTATCATACCATGAAATACAAGGTATATCTAATGGTGAATGAATAAATAAAATGAATAAATAAATAAAAAATCTTCATGAGTTGACGCAATTCATAGACGTAAAACTGAAAATTGGTTGGAACGTTGAAGGAAACATGGAGAATCAAACTAAAGTATTTTCGATATTGTGAAGCTTCCGGTTTCTCCGGAAAAGACGTCATCTTCGTTATTTTCGATAGGACCCCCTATATTACACAACATTTTTGGATTCCTCTCTCGATTTTGATTCAAATTCATGTATTATACCTTAACGCCTTACCCTAAAATGAACCGTCTTGTAGGTATTCGAGATTTTCTAGAAAAACTGACAGATGCAGCCTATTGAACACGCATCATTATCATGTGAATCACAATATTAAGTGATATGCAGTTAATGACTCATGAATAATGAGGTTGAAGGGATCACTCACCATAATCACAACCATTGAATAATTTACAGGGTGCGCAGAATAGTGGGTCTAGAAGGTGGATTTGAAACATTGAAAATCTCAAGCCCTAGTTCTAATCAACTTCTCTCAGAACCCATAACTAAGATTTTCCATAATTAGTACTTAATTCTGCAATAACTGCCTAAATTTATGGATTTTCTCGAGATTTTTCTAGTAGGCTGTGCAGAATATCTATCGAGAAATGAATTAGTGATTCATCATCTGCAAATATGCAAAACATGGCTCATGTTGGGTAAAATAATAAAGAATTCGTTGATGTTGATAATAATGATTCAAAGCTTATGTAATGAAACGTAATCTTGATTATTATACCCAATACGAGCCATATTGCATCTGACAGTACACAACTTTAAAGATGTCCAATTGGAAATAACGAAGATGACGTCACTTCCGGAGACACAGGGAGCTTCACAATAACTTCAGAATGATCCTACTTTTAGTTCTCTATCTATGGATCGTGTTTACTCATATGTTTCTAACGAATCAAAACACATGATTTTTCGAATGTATCTCAACAATCCTTTTATGGTTACAATGAGAATTTGAAATTGGTTTGTACTCAAAACTCAGGAGCTGATTTCCTTTGTCCTCGCAGAATAATGTTCAAAGTTCAATTAGTCTGTATTTAACTGTTTTTTATCGAACTATATGAATTGTATTATCACCAATAATATTTTTTCATGTTTTCAAAACTTTCAAACTTCTTGTTGTGAGAGTGTAATGTCTTGGATAGTTGAATTGAATAGGATAATCCACATTAAATATGATTTTAGTAAATTTTTCAACCCAGTCAACTCTTGATGTATTTTATGTTCAACAACTCTCAAAAATCAATTATTGCCCTTCATTTTATATCAACTCCCTATTGAAATAATTTTTGAAATTTATTAAAATTTATTCCATAAAGTAGGTAACCTTTACTTTTTTTATGTTCCGCTGTTATTCTATCTTGGAAATAATAAAGATTATTAATGATCAGAGGCGGACTGGGGGCCGGGCGGTCGGGCGATCGCCCGATGGGCTGGGGTCCTTTGGGGCCGGTAGAAAAAGTTAATGAATAAATAGATATATGTCTTCTCTACATCTTTCTGGAGTATGAGACCATTGAAACTACAATTTTGTTTAAAAAAATCTTCAATTTCACCACTCCTCAGCAAACTACGAATACCAGGTACCAATGGATGATTTATGAAAATATCAGAAATTATCATCCTGCTGATGAAATAGGCCTTGATAGATTTTACCCCACAGTGGGAAAGACTGTCGAGTACTTTATCAGAAGATATGATGGATGGTGGAACTAATGTCTTCGATGTAGAAGAGAAATTGATTTCATCAAAACACAAGTTTGCACATATACGTCGAGGTCTATCCAAATTTAGAGAAAATTATTCTCACCCTTCCAGTGTCGCAGGTATCTCAAAATTAAAATTCAATTTGAATAGGCTGAGCAGTTTTCTGAGCCAAGAACATTTGGATGCTTTCATGATGATGAGCTGCGAAAAAGAAATTTAACAATCAATATATAAGAAGCGACGATGTAATTTTCGATTTCCTTGAAAAATGTAGATCCATGAGAGGTTTACTCGTTTTTTAATTTCGATTTCGAATGCTGCTGATTTGGATAAATAATTTTCCTAGTCTTTTTGTAGCTTCAATATTATTCACCAAAGTGCTTTATGATCCTCTACCACAGAAATATCGTTCATTTTGTTGATTCTTATTCTTCATAAATAGAATGTTATTCATTTCATTCTCTTCAGTATATATTTGATGTTTTGCGACAATTTTTTTTCCTTGAGTTTTATTATAATCAAAACTATTTGTAATATTTCTTTGCGATTTTGTCCATGTCACTAAAACAAGTAATGAAAAGAATGTTATTCATGTTATTCATTTCGGTTTTCCCCAGTATATTTGATGGTTTATCGAAAAAAAATTCTTTCTTGAATTTTATTATAATCAAAAATATTTGCAATGTTTTTTTTTGCGTTTCTGTTTATGTCACTAAAATATGTAATGAAATTATATGAAATTTCCTCCGGATATGGGCCGGTAGCGTTCAATTCGCCCGGGCCGATTCAAAGGTCCAGTCCGCCCCTGTTAATGATTGATTAATTTAGCAAGACCAGTTTCTAATACCACAGTAGGTACTGACTAGTACTATTAGCTAACATCAATAACATGTCCATAGCAGCATATGAAAACTTTCAGACACATTTTTGGATGATTGAACATAACTGAAACTGAAATACATTCATGAATCAATGTCCAAAATGACTAGATTTTCATAGAAATAAAACTTATGCAGTTCTAAAATACTTTCTTCAGTTCTACAGCACTATAATGATTGAAAAACATTGATAGTAGGGAAATAAATATACCGGATGACACATGTAACAGCCTGTCTCATTTGCCTTAAATTTCTCTATTCAACTATGTATCACAATTTTATATTCGTTCATTAATTGGCTGTTGAATTCATGTATTTCAATAAAATGCAATTTAACAGCCAATCAATAAACGCATATCAAATTGTGATACACAGTTGGATATAGGATTTCATGGCAAATAAGATAGGCTACAGGAAATATACAGGGTGACATTTGAAAAAAAAAAATTGGGTGGACTTCCGATCAAACAGGTGGTTGAAGAAAACTGTTATTGGGTTCAAGGGAAGTGCCCTCATCGATAATATAACCTTTGTAAATTTCAAATTCTTATCTCTTCAAATGAAAAAACTACAGGCCGTTACATGTCTTCTGTGTCACACGGTATACACCTTGATAATTGGTATTAGCGAGGAATGAATACCTCTCAGCTGCAGCCTGGATATAAATAACTATTTATTTTAATTTTTTTTTCAGGTATGAGAGCAATGAAAACATGACAATAACATGCTCGACGAAAGTATGCTCGTTTGGCAAACAAGTAGTGGAAAAAGTTGAAACTGAGTATGCTCGGTACGAGAATGGTAGATTTGTATATAGAATTCACCGAAGTCCGATGTGCGAATACATGATCAACTTCATCCACAAACTAAAACACCTACCTGAAAAGTATATGATGAACAGTGTTTTAGAAAACTTCACGATATTACAGGTAAGTCGGCTTTTGTGAATTCATACGCAAGACACACTAGGTGAATGTTTTAAATTCACTCCTAATCTGAACTTCCTGATCAATAATATTGAAAATATCACGAAACAATATATATTATAATAAATAAACATTCATAACAACTACATACTGATGGGAGGTTATATTGTTTTATGAGTTTGTATGTTCCTATACAAAGGTTTTTGTATTTGTTTACATAGTAAAAATCACACTGTTTCTGCAGATTTTCGGAAATACAGGCATCAGTCTTCAGAAATAACCTGCGATATTCGGATACTTCTGATACCTCACGCTCTATAGAGAACTTTGACCTTTATTTTGATTGGTTTTATAGGCAGCAATATACAAGTGTCTATAATCATGACTTATGACAACACGTTGAAAGTTAAAGTTGTCGTGGAACAAATTATTGGCGAATACAAATAATTTTCAATTGGTGAATAAAATTCAGGCTAATTGGCGTGAGGCTTGGGAGCAATGTCATCAATTATTACTTCAACATTATATACCGGGTGTCAGCGAATCTATTAGACAAGTCATATCTTCTAGACCATAAGGTGTATCAAAGTGAGATTTGGTATAGGTAAATGATATGTGAAGAGGAGTGTTTTCACATATTTTTCACTTTCTGATCACTCCCGGTTTCGCCGGAAATGGTTCCGGTTCTACATTTTTAAATGGAACACCCTGTATATTGAAACATTTTTGGATTTCTGAGACTATTCTAGATCAGAATGTGACATTTTCGAAAGTTTTTATGCCTACTTAATTTTTTCGGCGTCACTTGAGCAATTACATCTAGGTGGCCATGATCGGGAGTAAACTAATCTAAGGACCTCAGGTGATATCAGAAAATTACAATCGCGAAGTTTCATTGACAAGTATGATAGATAAGAATAAGACAAGTTGATGGCGAAATTACATTTTCGTGTCCTAACTATTATTTTTCATATGGCGACTATTTTTTGACAATCCGAAAAAAGGATAAGAACATAAATTGAATATTACTGACGAAAATTCTTCATAATAATTTATTTACTTTTGTCAAGTGTGCCGAGGATAGGCATGATGCATAATATTTTGCAGTTATTTTGTTCAAGTCGTCTTGGGAGAACAAAACACTCACTTAGGTTATGACAGTGACATAAATTCAAGAGCAGTAGGTGAAATTATCTTGATTTTTGTTAAATTTTAGTTTAATTATCCGTCAAAATAATGTATACTCAAAGTGAAAAACTGGATATGTTGTTATTGGTTGGACGATTTACAAATAATGGCTTGTTTAATAAGCAAAATTCTCGGTACTGGGCATAAACGAAATAAACAACAAATTTGTTGATCCAATCGCAAATAAATTAGTATCGTTAGATTCGTCGAAATATCCTTTTTTCGGGAAGTACTTACAAAAGTAAATGAATCATTATCCATGTCACACTTGACAAAAGTAAATGAATTGGAGGCATGGCACGTTCATTAAGCCCTCATGCCTCATGCCAGGGCCTTATGGTTGTACTCCTGGAATAGATTTTGATGTGTTTCAAAGTAAAGTAGAGAAGGTTCTTTCTAGTAGGTACCCCACTTATCCCACACAACTACCATCAACGACACAGAGTCATTCGTCGTCAGACTCGTTATCGACATCTAAAGTGAATTCATGCAGGCATTGCTATAAGGAAAATTTGCGATTCTTATAACCTCCAATCACCGGGGGGATTATGACTATATATTATCACATTGAAGTTAATTATTGAGCTCATAGATTCTTTGGATACAAGTGATGATGGAGGGTCAATTGAAATTCTTTGGTAAAGAAACAGCAATTACCAAATATTCAAACCTACCTGAAAGTTTCTTGCAGGGAATGAAACTTGCATTAGTACAATAGTTGTTTTGAATACATTTGCTATAGAATAGACAAATTTTACATAGAGAGAAATCGGCTCTTGAAGTGATCAATCTTGATTTCCACTGCTTTTTGCTGGCTCCGCAACCAGTGCCACTTGTAAAATGCCCAGAAAAACCAAGAATACAGTTTTCAATACGATATTTATTCAACTATTTATCAATATTAATTTATCCATTTATCAATATTTCATTGATTCGTTTTTAATAATTCATGGGTTTGTTGAAAAATTTGCGTGTACTGTGTTATACATGGCTATGAAGAAGTATTGTGACTTGGAGTCATGACAACTGATGTTGTATTATCATGGCCTACCACATTTGAAGATGTTTCTACTATTGTTTGGCGCTCTTTCATGTGAAAATGTCAACATGATATACATTACTGTGAAGGAAATTTTAAGCTCTATTCAATGGTTTAAAAAACAAAAATGGCGCCCATAAAATGAACAAATTGTATGGTAAATCTCTGAAAATCATCAAGATAGAATATTTCTGATGATCCCAACTCATTTGGCAAGATCAATTACCTACTTACACCAAATTTGAAAATGTTCTCCTCACGAAAAAAATAAATAAAAACGAATCGAGTGATTTCCAGTTTTTTTTTAAATATTTCAGGAACGGCTGACATTTTTCCAAATTGCAAAACGTCATATTGAGGAGGTTCAAATTACGCAACTTTTGTCGCTTTTGATCAACTTCCTATCCCTTACCGTTTAGGAAATAGCAACAGCTATCTCTACTAATGCCCATACCCGGTGGTGTCGATTGTGCTAAATTCGTTAGCTCCTGAGTATCTTATATCTCACGTACCGGTATTAATAATGCTAGACGAAATATTAATGAAATATACATGCCCTAATACTCCAGACATATCTAAAATATTGATGGAATAAACCTCTGGTGCGCTCACTCTTCATTTGTTTTGTCACACTGGTTCTTGATATAAACAATAATTGAATTTCAGACGATGACGTGGGGTTCACATATTGAATGTTAGATGGCGTGATTCCTTGATCGGCTCAAGGTAGGTAGAAAGTAGAACTTATGACAAACATCAGCTCTACCAACCTTGATGCGGCTAAATCGCAAAATGTATTCCCTATCTTCATTGGTGACAATTCGGTCACAAATTTCACATTGATGCTTGTAATTTTGGTACGGCACCAGACTAAACTCAGCGAGATTCACCCACGCCATGTTATGTTTATCGAAGTAGGCGAATATCAAGGAATTGTTGAGCAGGAAAAGATTAAAGTGCGTACACCAGAGGTTCATTTCATCAATTCTAAAATTCCAGAACCTGATTATGTTGTCAGTCCATCACGGTAGGTTTTTTTGCAGGTTGTGAGCAATAGGGACACTCAAGAGACTCTCTTATGTACAGCGTACGTATTCGAAGTGTCGACTTCGGAGCACGGGGCTCAACACCACATCTACAGGCTCGTGAAAGACTAGCGGGTTATCGGTGAAACTATAACCTATCACTTCAGTGCCTACACTCTCACAATACTAGTATTATTATCGGTTACATACTTTTAAGAAAGTAGCTAGGTGAAAACGATATAAATTGCCATTTGAATTTCAAAGAAGGTATCTAAAGCTAACTTATCTTCTTGAAAATCAGATCATAGTACAAACAAACCCTGAATTCAATATTTGCGTTTTGATCCAAATAATACTCTCAATTGAAATCTCTTCATTCAGTTCATTGAATTAAAATATATTCAAATATATAATTTGATGTTTTTCTTATTGAAACTAAACCATTGGTGTAGATCATTTTGAATATTTTATTTATCAAAATGATATATTTTTGGAGTTTGGAGAATGAGACTGAAATGAAAAATAGAAAATGTTTTTTGAATGAAAAACAGAATGATTATACTTCTAGGTGAACACAAAATACTCGACATCTACTCATATTCAAAGAAAATAATGTTGATTAGGTATCTCTAAAATTAAATCTATCAACAACAACTTGATGATTTAGGATTGTTCGTACTGTGATCAAGTGAAAAATTGTCTTATTTCTGTTCAATTTCATAAAGGTTATATGTTTGTTTTGATTATAGTTTTTATTTTATCCACAACGTACTTCTAGTTCTTTAGTCTCTTCTCCCGATTTTGACAAGTTGTAAAAATGTGACCTAGTTTCAACCCGATTGTCCCCTACATTTTGATATCTTTCGCACAATCATATTTTTTCGTTTTCAAAATGTTGGAGATGTTTGAGATGGAGTAGATCATTGATTAGTAAAAATTATTTATTGTATAAAATTGATTGAATGTAAAAAATACTAAACTTTGATCTACTTTGAAAATACCTTACTTATTAGTATAAAATTAGGTTGAAGTTTGCTCTTTGTGATGATAATTTTAAAAGTTTTATATATACATATAGATTTACATATTTAGATTTTTATTTGATATATTTCGGAATTAAAATACCCAGTATTTGAGTTATGTTTAGTTTTTTCGCTAGTAAAAAATAGCTTTAGATGGTGTGTCTCCTCGAAAAGATGTTCTATAATTACCTCGAAGGTATATACTGTTATTTTTTTCGTGGAGAATACTTGACCTTTGTGTTCAGTTTGGCAGCCTGAAGTTTTGCCAAATAGATTACCAAATAAAATTCCTTGTGAAATTTTCGCAGAACATTCAGTTACATGCAGATAATAACTGCAGTAGTTTAATCTACATTTTTATATTTCAATAATCGAAAATAATGTTGATATTGACAATTATTATGGGCATACAAAGTATCTACAGCTTCAATTGGTTTCTCGACTTTTACAGATTTATCGATCTAAACTAAGTAAAAGTATGTGAAAATATATATTTATCAAGAAGGAATATTATTGAATGGAACGTCAAAATACAGTGTGACCCACTTAAGACCGGAGCACCCTTATAAAATCTATGGTGTTTGACCAATTTATTATTTTTTGTTTCAGCAGAAGGACTATCCTGCGATCTACGTTAACACAAATTTGCTAAATAAAATTTCAATCTGCAGGGCACACTATATTAATTTTTTCATGTTAAAAATTGCGAAATATATCATATATCATAGTTTCAAAAAAACATCGACCCCACCACTGAATTCAGTATCCTTCAATTAGGTTGAGCGTAAAATTTCATTGAAAAATATGAATTGGCAACAAAGTTATAACATTATTGTTTTTGATTGCTCACGATTTTTATTGAATATTTCAGACAAATTCTGAGAAGCGGCAACATTGTCAACACAAATGTTGGAAATCATCAAGGTTTCTGGTATACATTTGAATTGATAACACGAATTATTATCGAGTTATAACATCTAAAATGGAATTTATCTTGGTATTCATGGAAAGATTCATAAAATGAAAAATCCATAACGTCGAAAAATCGGCCTTGTTCATCCAAGTAATTAGAGTTAGAAAATCGGATATTCTGTATAGTGAGATAATATCAGAAGCCAAAAACATCAAGAGCTTCCAGAAATTGTTGGTTTACATTGATAATTAACTTATTATGAAAAGCTGTTTTTCCGACTTCATTACTTCATTCCAAAAGGGTACCATTCTAGAGATTATAACGCGATAATGATTTGTGTTATCAATTCAAATGTATACCAGGAACCTCAATGATTTCCAACATTTGTGTTGACAATGTTGCCGCTTCTCAGAATTTGTCTGAAATATTCATAAAAAATGGTGAGCAATCAAAATTAATGTTATTTATAACTTTGTTGCCAATTGAAACTTTTCAATAAAATTTTGCGCTCAACCTAATTGAAGGATGCTGAATTCAGTGGTGGGGTCGATTTTTTTTGAAAAAAATCGCTAATGATATTTCGCAATTTTTAACATGAAAAAAATAATATAGTATGCCCTGTAGATTGAAATTTTATTTTGCAAATTCGTGTAAACGTAGATCTCCGGATATTCCTTCTGCTGAAACGAAAAAAAAAAAAGAAATCGGTGAAAAACTAGAGATTTTATGAGGGTGCTCCGGTCTTAAGTGGGTCACACTGTATATCGAGTAGGATGGACGTATTTTATTTTAGGGCTCCGTTAACCGACAAAGCGTAGGAATTTATAATTTGGTATGCGACACAAATATTTTGATAAACATTATTTTTCCCATTTTTTTTTAATTATTATCATTTGAATCCAAACTTGAAGGTAACAAATAAGTTGTATATTTTCATGCTATTTGATGATCTATGAAAACATCCTGAATAACTTTTTTTTCTGGAGTGAACAAATTCCAGTAGCGTACGTAAATATCAAGTCACCTCCAAAATTGAAAATTTTATAAAAAAAAGTTCATTATTTCTCATATACCACCAATGCTTTTGATTACCAGTATCATCTCAATAGGATGAATGTAAATGAATGTTCTGATGCTGGTGTGTTCACATTTATTAATGCATAGTGCAATCGAAAAAAATAATGCAAACAATTGTGAAAACATCATAAAAAATATTTCACAATATTTTATTACAAGTGGCAATGTTTTGATCTCTGATTTAGTCTTTGGAAATTAATTATTTGATAGGTGTATTTGCAATTTTTGGTAGCTTATAATTTCATTATAAGAAGAAGTGCGAAAATTATGAAACCATGATGTGACTATCCTCGATCTAGATAATTTTTTACAACACTGACACAAATGTGTCTTCTGTGAAGATGAAAAAATTTCGAATTTTGAGTGCATAGCTAAATTATTTGTATTTGTTGAATGGATGATAAGGAGAATGATGAGGAAGTGTCAGTGTAAATGATAATATTGTAAATATATTTCTATGAAAATATGGCGGCTATAAATATTTTTATCGTCTTAACATGCAGTTATAAGATCCTTTATGAAGTGTGCTATATTTAAATGAGATTTTTAATCCATATCTGGAAATGCCATATCAATGAATGAAAATTATTGAATCATATACTTTTGCTCTTTATGTGTACAGTATTTTAAATCAGGTTTATAATTTGTATTGAAAATTATAAAAATTGAAACATACCATCATTTTATTTCACGTTTTCGTTCCTTCCCCAAAAGTTGAATTTAGACTGAATGAATCATGAAATGTTTCTTTAATGACGCATTTCAAATCATTATGTCATGATTCCACTTATTTTCGGACTAAATCATAGACAGCGTGAGTGGGGATAGCACTATAAGTGTTTTTGGCATGTTAAAATAATGAATTTGTTTTTCTCGAAAATTCCTGAATGTTTGATAGTAACTGCCATTCTGTAATAAACGATTCAAATATCTTCCATAAGTGAATTTTTTATCATTTTTTTCATTTAAAAACGTGAATTGTAATAAATTATACAGAGTGATTCAGATTTCAAGGTACAAACTGAAATGAGTGATAAATCTTATCATGTTGGTCAAAAAAGTGTGTATAAATGTGTCTCTCTCGATCTCGATCAGTAGCGGAGATTCAGGGGGTCAAAGTTCAATTCTTTTTTTCTAATCATTGAGAAATCGGCTCAGTTCTGAAGATATCAATTGGAATTTTGATGTAGTCGATACTTTCTAGAAGATCACCCAGCCAACCATGAGATGTATAAGTGATGTATACGCCACATCACTTCGTGACATGCGATATCGCATTTGAAGTCACAAACATGTTACCGATACAACGTGGCGATGTGAAAATGTCCGACTCAAGCAACATCACTGTGACGTCGTGACATGATATGCGATCGACATCACATGAAAAATCACTACCAGGTCACATCATACAAGTGTACATTTCATATTACAAATACATCACACTACGACATCGATTATGTGGTCGCCGTACCTGTGATATTCGTGGGCTATATATAATAATATTTATTCAACTTTACGAAGAAAATGTTTATTTTCCGAAAATAAAAACAGATGATACAATACTTATCATGACAATCACGCTAATTAGTAATCATGAAGTAAAACATGACACATATATATAGCAATACAAATATACATTATTCATAAATGATACATTTCAAATACACTTACATTATCTTGGGATCTTTCATCCACCTTGTTATAGATTGCGATGTTCAGAGATAATTACAATATTACCTATTGTTATTGAACTCACCGTCGTTCCTAAATGATTGTATACCCCCAATTTGAAGCTGCTATAATATGTGCTATAAATCATCTCAGATATTTCAACAGAGAATTTGGAAGGAAATAGTCTGTACGGAGTCGGACTCACTCACTGACTGACTGACATGAATGACATGATGCACAGCTCAACATGGCGTCTGGCGTGTGCGTTTATTTTGCGCATGTCTGCGTCACACTCACAGGTCACAAAGATATCTCATGAGGATATCAATGTGAATTACTTAGTTATAACGTCGAAGAAATGTAGTTTGAAGAAATCGCTGCCACATTACATAGTTATTTCCTGGTTGCGATGTCACTTTTTGCGACGTTTATATCGAATCTACGTCGATAAGATGTGTTAACGAGATATTGCATTTATGCAAGGTTGTTACATCACACAGATATGTTGATGTCACACGATGGTTGGCTGGGTTCCTCCATTGGCTAATATGCCTTTTGAAGATTTATGTCCTAAACAGATTTATAAACAGGCCTTAACTACAGAAACCTGAATAAATACAACTTTGTTAGGATTTGGGTATAATTATTATCATTCTTGGGAGTTTAAAAATGAAGGGCATCATGTATTTACGATTTCTGCTTGCGAAAAATGATAATTTCTTGAGAAGTTCTGAGACTATATGCTTCATTTTCATTACAATAATTATTTTCCGGAAAAAATTCAGCTCAATATTATGATGAAATTCAATGACTCTGATGTGAATGGATATCAGATATTCCAGGGACACGAATAGGATAACCTAGGGATGTACCGGGTGGGATGTCCACTGGAAAATAACCACTGCGGGACATCCCCAGGATGCCCCAATCATGTCGTCATTGTACCGCGGAACAAGAAAGGGATGTACCTCTAGGACAACCCTGTATTGTGAGGGAATGAATTCCTGAAAAGTATCATCCACACCAAATTTCAAATTGATATTTTCAAATCAAGTGAGCGAGATATTTTGATTAATAGAAAAAAATTATTGAACTTTGACCCCCTGTAGATCCGCTACTAATCGATATCGGACTCATGATGTTAGTATGAACTGTTTCAATTGAAATGATCGATGATATCTATCACCCATTTCAGTTTGTACCTTGAAACCTGGATCACCCTGAATATAAATGTTTCTCATTGCTTTTATTCTCCTGGTAGATATTTGTGTTTGTGACGGTGAATGTCTTTGGATAAAATAATCCATCTTTCATTGATTAAAAAATAAAAGTTCATGTAATCCAGAGTATTCAGATTTATTAATTTACGTACTTAAAAGTTGACCATAATTAAAATTTGAATATTATTCATTTTTAATATTTCACATTTTTTATGATTCAATCAATAATGATTACCTAGAGATTATCAAGAACATGCAGAATTAGATACAATCCTCGTATAAAAAATATGGATATCACCTAAATATATCAGGCATTTTCAAGTTTCAGGAGAGAATAGGTACTATTATTCTGATGAAAATATAAAAATTCTCAACCCATACTCGCTGAATAATAAAGCCATAATACATGCTATCTAAAACGTTGTATTGCTGATGGTGTTTCCGAAATTTTCGAATCGAAATTATTTACTAAAATACATTACATAATAAATTATTCAAATTTACAAAACAACAGATGCCGATAAAATAAATCCATTAGAGGTACCTACTAAAGATGAGTCGTTCCACACTTGTGACGACACTATACCATAAAAAAATCTACTCTTTTACGCCATAGTATTCGAAAACGTCTTCATAGGCATCAGCAGTCGATTCGGATTCCACTAAATTCAAACCCAACACGTTCGGGTTGATATCTGTTATAAAGAAGTCATTACCTAATCCACATTCATTCACTATTTCCTGCTTCGATACAGGAGGCGCCAAAAAATCTAAAAAATTAATATTATTAAACAAAATATACAGGATGTTTCCGAAATCGGAACGATAAATGGAGTGGATGGCACACAGAGGCGAAAGACGTTTCTGGCAAACAGAACAACGGATCACAAAGTTTCATAGATTTTTCCTTTACCTATCTTCTATTACCGACGTTCTCGAAATTAATTTAATTTACTAGGTATGTATGTATAACCTAGCTGTTTCATGTACCTCGGAAGCAATTTTCCTAAAATACCTATCTCTCGATAGGTTCATTCATTTTTTTTAGTTTCATAAAATATTTCGAAAGTTACAAAATTCTCGCCAAATTTGTATAACTTATTGACAATTGACTATATTATCAAAGATCAAGTGAACTTTTCCCACAAGAAAAACACTTGTCTGGATCACCAGAAACGTCTAATTTTCCATCAAGCAGATGTGCCTATATTAACAGGGCGCACCTCTAAAAATGGAACCACTTCAATCTGTACATTTTTCATCCCTTGGAGCAAACGAAAGGGATTCCCTATCATGTTCGAAGAACATCGTGCGGACAGATATATAGGGAGAGAGGGTAGGTATAGATATTGGATTTTTTTTCAACTATTGGGAGGTACATCCTTGAGAGTACCTATACTTCCTTTGGTAAATAATTCAAAAGCTTTTCCGTAGACATACGATTCTTGGCAATAAGTTGTTTAACATATATCGAGGTTGACGACGAGAGGATGTGCTGACTGTGCTGACTGTGCTGAGGTAGTCTGACTGGTATTGCTAGTAACGGCAATGACAGGAAAGATTTCTGAAGGACATCTCCCGTGGAAATATCTATAGAAAAGTGGAAGACCGTCGACTTTCCTCTGGTTTTCCAATGGTGCCAAAGAATTAGTGAGTGTGTCATCACCCACTAGACGAATGACTATCGTCTCTTGATGGAATATCAGAGCATCAGTGGATGTTTGGGTGCTGAATCCCATGTGGGAACGGGCCGTATATTTCATAACATACCGGGTGGCTACGGAAGTATTGCCTACGCGGAATATCTCAGTTATTGTATGAAGTAGGTTTGTGGAATTTGGAGCGTCGATATAATGACATAAGAGCTAGAATTTGAGCATATTGACATGTCGAAGTCAACTTCCGGTCTGACCGGAAGTAACATCAACTTTCTTATTTTAAGTGGGAACCCTATTTTTTTTTCTTTTCGCTTTATTCAGCATTCAATTCCCTTTTTAATGACATATCACAAGTTGGTATCTAACCAGAAACTAGATCAGAAAAAAATTATTATTGAAATTCACCGAGTAGGCCGTGGAAGCAAAATGAAAGCCAAAAAATGACTTTCTATTATATCATTAGAAAGAAATGGTTATGCTGAATAGTACAGGCAAGAAAAAGTTGTATGTTCCTATTTAAGTTATGGACCTACAGAGAGTATTGTTTTTTTTCCCAATTTTTCCAATATTTTTTTTGGCGGCTTTTTATAACGTCGACGAATGAAAATAAAATATCACAGTAGTAGCAACTGTTATGGTTTCCATAGCCAACTTTTCAATTTTTGGCTTTCATTTTGCTTCCACGGCCTACTCGGTGAATTTCAATAATAATTTTTTTATGATCTAGTTTCTGGTTAGATACCAACTTGTGATATGTCATTAGAAAGGGAATTGAATGCTGAATAAAGCGAAAAGAAAAAAAAATAGGGTTTCCATTCAAAATAAGAAAGTTGATGTTACTTCCGGTCAGACCGGAAGTTCATACATTAACTGAGATATTCCGTAGGCAATACTTCCGTAGCCACCCTAGTTCTCAACGAGCTCTATTCGAAAATGTGGACAAATCTGAAACATTCAGATTGTCAAGGCCTACTTTTGTTTGTTGAAGGGGTCAAATTTTCAAAATCGATACTATTAGGCATTCTTTTTAAATAGTGACTAGCCTATTCGATTCAAGCATAGCGGAAATACCTCCATTCGAAATTTTCACGCAATATCTCTTATAGGGTGTTAGTTATTCAATGGAAAAATTTTCAAAATTTTGCTTTTTCGATTCATAATAAAATGATAGGAGTTGATTCAACAGGTGACTTGGTCATTCAATTATTGTCTGCAAAGGTTGGGATGGGGCAAATGGTTATACTCCCAACAGATCATTGATATGGAGTAGAAACAATAATATTGGTGCCAACATTGATCCTTGCGGAACACCGGAATCGATGGTAATGGAATCAGACGATATGGAGCGATCATCGAACGGCACCTGTGCCAATCATTATCCTGAGTAGATTGATTGAAAAATGGCACTTTCCTGTGCGGAATTTTGCACTCAATTTCGCGATTTGATAATGAGTTGAGAATTATGTCATCCGATACCAATTTAATGGCAGATCTCGAAAATCCTACCTGTGCCACCCTTCAATCTGAGCCAAATCCCAGGCACTGCGTATTATTTGTTGCCATTATTCCGGACATACTTCCGTCATGTGATAACGAGTTGACACAAAAAGCAAATGAAAAGACTCAAACTGATGTCAGTCAGTGGCAGAGAGCGTCAATATTTCCGAGAATATTTCATCCCTCTTGATTTATGATAATATCCGATGAACCAGTGTGAAACTCAACATGTGGTTTAGAATACTTGTAGTGCAAGCACCACATTAGTTTTACACTGGTTCATCGGATGTTACCTTTCGCCTGCAAGCAGAATACGCCTAGCTGATAATGCGTATCAGACACTGTCGACGAATAGAAAGAAGGTCGTATTTGAAAATGGTAAAATGGAAAATGGTTTTGAACTGAACATTTTCCATGTCTTCACATTAACAAAAAGTTGGGGGGGGGGGGGGGGAGTCTATTTTGAAGAAAGGCACTGATGTACTCAAAGATGTTTTTTCTTACCTTCTAAACCATTTATCGTTGGTTCAGCTAGATTAATGTATTGGATTTCTATATTATTGTCTCTTCTGTAGGTTGTTTTCACGGTTTCAACCTGAAATTGAAGATTTACTTTACTACTGAAAACGTGGAGTAGTGGAGTCAATCTTTCAGAAAAATGAAATGAAGTGCAATCTGTTCTTTATGAAATGCGAAGTATATCAATGATTTGCATTGTATCAAATATTTTTTGGTTTCGTATTCACATGTGGTATCGTAAAACATACGTGGATATTTTCCAGTGATCAAAACTGTGTACACCTAGATCGAGTCACTGGATGGTGGTATATTATTTAAATAAGAGTTCGGACACAAAAATGACATCTGTTAGTGTTTTTGAATTTTTCGAATTATTAAGTTACACACCTTGCATCGTGACAAGACCACCATAGTCCTCCCGCGCTTTTTCATTCAAAATTGTCTGAATAGGACAATACATTTCATGAACGTCAGAATTGAAATATAATTTCATAAACTATTGAGAAGAAAGCATAAATGACAAAATTCCTGCTGTGTAATCAATTGTGGAGTTTCTGAAGAGAATGGATTTCATTTATTCAAGGAAAATCAACCATTCTCATATGGAAGGAATAATGTAGGGAACGGCCTGAATGGATCATTAATTTGAAGACAAGCTGAATTTGTGCTTCCTATAATAGCAAATTAGAATGAAACTATATTTCAGGCCCATTTTTGAACAGAAGTTCCGTAATAGAGAATCTGCTGTTTCATCCATTTACAACACAGACCGATAATAAGTAATATAAATAATATTTCATGAAGAAATAACTGACCAAATAAGGAACATCAATGGAAATAGTATAGTGTTTAACGAGCACGGAATGATAGTGATTTCCTACGAGAATGAAGTTTGCAGCATGAGTTATAGCCGAATGCTGCAATCATTCGAAAAAAATTATCCATACCTTGGTTTGGTTATTAATTTCTCCCAAAATACTCTCAGTAGCAGCTTGTAATTCTTTATCAAAAGCCTCTTGTTCTTGAGTTTTCGTATCGTTTTGCGTGTTTTGAATGAACTGGTTCATCCGTTGTCTCTGTAAATAGTATATATAATATAAAATTCAACCCTGAATAATATAATATGATTTTTTCGTCCAATATATGTCGACATTTCGAAAAAAAAATCGATATTTCGAGATAAAAGTAAATTCTTCAAGATAAGTCAGAATTTCGTGAAGAGTAAATATTCCTATTACTGAGAAAACAAAAAACTTGTGGAAATTCTACGCTTCCGTAGTGCTCCAACGTACACTGAATGAAAATATACAGGGTGTTTCAAAATTCGATCGACAAGATTGTATGGATTTTTGAAAATGGAAGAGCAGCATCAGCTGAACTCCACCATCAGGTTAAATAAAGGCAATTTATTATTATTTGTGAAAAAAACCATACATCATGTACCAAATTTGAATGCAAAGAAACTATTCATGCTTGAGTTATTACAGAGAAACATTTTTTATCTTGTCTTCAACACCCTGTATCTGGAGAACTGAGAAATTGAAGACCGTATATGTATCTGCCTTAGTTGTTATAAATTCACGAGTACTGCCCTCTACAAGGGCCTGATGTGTAGTAAAATATCTTGGACATTTCGGAGATATTCGGGATGCAGAACTTTCTTCATTCTAGAGTACTGATGTTGTTTCAATGATCATATGATTATCTGTTTAGTGTTATTCTTCCACTCACAATTTGCCACGTTTTTTTGTCATCTCTCTGAGCAATAGTCCAAAGGTGTCCAGCTCCTTGCACTGCCTTGCCACCTTTTCGAAAATGAGGATTTATCGATAAGTTGTGCCTCACTGAATTCTTCCATCTATCATCGTTCTGCTTATAAAATGGAAAATGGTCTCTGAAAAAATCAAACTGATAAGATTTATACAGTAGCATTATACCATTCAATGCTAAATGAATGGGTGAGTGAAATTCGAGTACTTGCATGGAGATCTCTGAAACGGTAAAAGCTACAGATGGTTAAAAGGAGGCAAAGTTGTGCAATTTCATGAATATATTAGAATGCCGTTAGAGATTTTGAAAAATTCCGGAAACTTCCGAAGATTTTCGGGAAAACCAAATATTCGCGATTTCAATTTTATTTTTGCTACTTTTTCTGTTCTACAAGATGGTCTTTCAGATTTTCCAACCGACGTATAGTCTTTGAGCTGTCATCGTCAACTACGCCTATATATATAGGCTATGAAACGCCAGCCGCGGCATTAAATCTTGTACTTTTCTGCCTGGTAAATCAAATAACTATTGTTATAACACAAAATTGCTCTTGTTTTACTGTGTTCGATACGTAAATGAGGTACTTTGTATGTCATCAATGTTATTTCCGTATCTGATATCACAATGACTCCATTGTGTTATCATTTCAAAAAAATCTCATCGCTTATGGAATGTCAATGTGAAGCAATGACAGAGCTCTGTCTAATAGAAATCAAATGGCTACAAGACGAAGAAATCGAAAATGCCGCTGTTATCTATTATAGCCGAAGAAAAATTATAGTGTAATAAGTTGCACGGAATGCTAATAACTAATAACTGCTAACTTCATTCTCGTAGGAAATCATTATCATTCCGTGCTCGTTAAACAATATACTATTTTCTCCAAAAAATCTTCGGAAGTATTCAGAATTTTTCGAATTTCAAAACGGTATTTTGATATTCATAAAATTGCGCAACTTTGCCTCTATTTAAACCCTCTTTGTAGCTCTAACAGTTTTCGAGATCCCCATCCATCACTCACCCGGTATATTTCTATACAGGGTGTTCCAAAATATATGCGCAGGACTTTCGGATGTGACAGCTCGTCAAAAAATAAGAAAACAAAATTCTATTAACTCACCCTATAAGTTTAGTCAGAAATAGTGATGAAATATCAAAAACACCTATTTAGATTTTTTGTGGGACAGAAGGTTGACACCAACCTTGCCTTATTATTAATTAGTAGGAGTGTAAATTTATGTGTTGACCAGTAGTGAAGAAAAACGATTTCACAGGTCAAAAATTGCATACATAATGATGGAGTGTTCTAGAGCTACTGGTGGAAGAGTGAATCATAGTGAATTATAGTTTCAACGGTCAATTTGAATCGAAAAAAAAAAAGTAGAAATATCCTGTTCTTGATTGACATAATCCCATCAAGTAATTACGAATTCTATATCTGATTTTTTCGTTGATGGAGAACGACCCCTTCGAATTTCGAATAACTGTTGTAGGGTTTAATTATCATACCACCTGAAACCAGTGATCCATGAACCAATACATCGAACGCGTGTTAGAAACGATTACGATCCGGCAATTATTGTAATTAGTTTTATTTTGTCATCTCATTTAAATTCGAATTTCACGGATTCTGCTCCTGTGCTTACACACAATTGGTAAGTAGGTAGTAGTTATTATCAACAACTCTTACAAATGAAATATTCAAATCAATCAAATCTTGGGTACACAAAAATAATATGTTATATTTTTATTTCATCTGTTTAAACCATAGACTACAGAAGATTGGTTTAAACCATCATTGAATGATGATCAAATTGACTCGTAATATAGACTGCAACAAAACAGCAGGAAGAATGTACTAACCTAATACAAAATCGAAAAATGTTGTTGTTCTTCGAATATTTCGATGAGTATTTATCATGAAATTTTCATTTAATTTCGTGTGAATAACCATTGAACAACTAATCATTGATAATGCAATTTTTTCCATTCTATCAGAATTGATATACTTTTCTAAAGGGTGTTTCTCAACCTTTCTGACAAAATGAAAGGAGCAAATCCTATATAGTTTTTATTATAATGTCCCTTAGTTTTCAAAAGTTGATATAATTCGAAAGCGAAACATCATTCAAAAAACTTTTATATCATTATATCGAAATTAGGTCATTGTTGCAAGCGATTCAAAAGATTTTTTTTTTATGGTTTGGATATGCAATAAAGTGGTTTTTAATTTTTATTTCGAAAACAAAGAGAGATACGGAAACAGATTATAGGAGTTGAAAAAGTTGTAACATTAGTTGCTTAATCAGAAAAAAAATATTGAAATGACAGAAAAAGTCAGTGGCGTATATTTTTTTGTCAATAATATTGGCTAAGGATGCCGCACTGGACTAAATAAGCCCCTCAATACTATAAATAACTCAATTGGATGAAGCATGTCTGAAATAAAAATAAAAAACCGATTCAAAATCGGAAAAAATCAAAATTTGACTCCTTGCATTTTGAAAACTGAGCGACATTTTTTTTATCGCTTGGAGCGCACGACAGGGAATCCCTATAATGTTCAAAGAACATCGTGCGTTCCTAGGGAGGATAGGGATAGGAGGTAGGTATTGGAATTTTTTTTGAACTTCTGGAGATTATATGTTGTTCGAAAAAAAGGCTATTCTACATTTTCGTCTGTACAATAAATTTCAATTTCACATAAGATAAATACATCCTGCATCATAGTCATTGTGTACTCTTTCTTGTTCACAAGATTTTCAGGAATGAATTTGAATTTCGTAAAAAGGAAAAGGATTTGAAAATCTTCAACTAATTGGTGGGAAGTGGAACGCCGTGGCGTAGTAAGACTTGATGAAGCCCTGGTGGTGTTGCGATAATGGTTGATGGAAGGGCCGGAAAGTAAAGCTAATATTAGAATTCACAAAATCGAATGCCTACATGAGACACAAGTGATATCTTGGTAACTCTGCATATTATACTTTGCCTCATTCATGTACCTATACACTACAATACAAGGTACAGTGTCATCCACTTGAAAGCAGTCAATTTTGCATCGCCCGGATTTGCCTTTTTCCAATCGTCGTAGACTGCAGGAAAAACTGTACTTTCAAGAAAAATATCCTCTGGGATGAAAACAGAGAAAACAATGATGTGGAGGAGGATGATGGGGAGATATGATTTTTGTTTGTAAATGTCGAAGAATCCCTAAACAAAAGTTGATATCATGGTACCACCTTTTGCCAGTTAAACGACATGTCTCATACATTGTCAGTCACGTGAATTTGCTTATTCGATTCGATGGCGTTTCCATTCGAAAAACTAGGCAAAACAATATTCGGTTCTACTAGAACTCCTCAGTGTATACTGTGTGTATACTTCACACTGATGTTTCGACGTTTTTGATATTATACAAAAAACGTCGAAAAAGCAGTGTCAAGTATACACACAGTATACATTGAGGAACTCTAGTTGAACCGAATATTGTTCTGCCTAGATGTTCGAATTTTTATGTAATAACAAAAACATCGAAACAGCAGTGTCAAGTACAGGGTGATTGTTTATATTTTATTCAATAGCTATCTCAGTTAATATTGGTTCTAATAAAAACTTTCAAATAAGCTGAAGTGAAGTATTTTTTATGGGCATTCAGAATTTAGTACTTGAAAATGAAAAGCATCGTTAACCTACATATTCCACATGAACTGGTACTTTTCAAATATCACACCCTATATTTTATTTTCCTAAAGGTAGAGCATTTTCTTCTAATTTCAAATATATAATATTCTTTATTGAGGTTATCTTTCGTCAGTTTTTGAAAAATATAGATTTTTTGCTTTTGATCTAAAGCAGGTATTGAACGCCATAAGACAATGCTGCGATTTCTGGCGTTCTACTGCCTTTGAATCTGCATATTTCGATGACTGACAAAGATAAACTAAATAAAGTATATACCGGGTGACACAGACTCATGGTGTACCCCCCTTCTAATGAGCAAGCATATTCGATGTTTCAAATTTCAGAAATATAGCTAAAAAAACAAAGGCGAAAAGGGGGTATGCCAAGAATCTGTGTCACCGCCGGTATATTTGGAATAAGAAGAAAGAGCTTTACCGTTTAGAAGAATCAAATACAGGGTGTTTCATTTAAAAAATACCAGTTTATGTAAAAGTTTTAGGCTAACGATGCTTTTTTGCATTTACTAGTTCTAGTCTAAATGCCCATAAAAAATACTTCACATTTGCCCATTAGAACGTTTCTGTAGGACCAATATATTAATTGAGATAGCTATTGAGTAAAATATAAACAATCATGCACCCTGTACATTAAGGAACTCTAGGTTCTTTATCTATCCCATCCTAGGACCCAATTTTGAAACAAATTATTTATCTAAACACAAGAAGTAATAGTCAAACTCTGTCAAACTCAGGAATATTATTTCGCTATATTTACCTACCTACAGTCACGATAATATGTAGTGTGATTTTCATTGAAGTGCTATTCATACGTCGAGTTACAAGGTCAAGCAAGGATTATACAGATGGACACCCTGTACATTTTTCAAGCTACTATCAGGTATAGCTATTCGTCTGAAATAACTGTGGAATGAATATTCTAGATCGGGCCAAGTTCTGCGTAAATCGCAACAAAAGATGGTCGTCAATATCCCGTGCCAGGTACGGAGGACTGCACCACTTCCACAGGACTTTCCAGCAGTCAGGACACCCACCACAAATCGCCCGTAAAACGGTTTCCATCCCGCCATTTCTCAACCCACTATTCACTTGCATGTTAGTCTCTGGGATCATAGGAAATATGCTCATTTACAAGGAAACTAGGAGGTAGGTATTCAGATGATTATTCCAATTACACCTGGCTGCACCTATGAAGCTTCATGTTTGAAGTTACATATCCCAGCGAGCACAAACATCCCTGGGATGTTTTGGGATGTTTTGAAAATGTTGGCATGAAGATGTTATTTTGAGACGTAATATGCACTGACCAAAGAGGTCTTTGAAGGATATTGAAGTATTGTTTTTGTTCTTCTGTGGCATTTCTTTGTTTGCCTACTGAGATGTATTCCTGGGATGTTTTGGGATGTTTTAGAAATGTAGGCATGAG